AGGGTTTTACCACATTAGCCGCTGGTGGTACTAAGCTGTCTAAAGTCTTCCTGGATGGCTGTAAGTCAGACAGAGCTGGATCCTTGAGAATAAGTTCAACATGGTTTTGCCACGTGTCAAGGTCTGCTTCATGAGTGGGGCAAGAGGTTTTGCCAGAGAATTGCCAGAGCTGTCTGAGTCTGAATGATGCACTCATCAATGATATTGGTACCTCATTTCTCACCATGTGTCCTACACCCATTTGTTGCACTTCAAGAGGATTAACATAGCTCTTGCCAGTAATAGGAACTTCATTTTCTTTAGCATAGCAGAATACTATAGACTTAGAGGCACTGTAGAGATTCACCTTGCACAGCTGATTGTGCTATTTCCCTTTGAATCTCTGTGCTTGAAGACTCACTTTCAGACTCACCAAGCGTTGCAATCCTTTGCAGTTCACTCAAAAGGCTTTGTGTGACGCTGTCAGTCACAGTGGGAACATATTCACTTGACAGAGCTCTAATTTGATAGGTGACTTTGCTAGGGCTCTCATAGCTATGTGGGTGTATAGGCTGAAGATCATTCACTGCAGCTCCACTCATATTCTACAATTACATTTTTGTGGTATGGAGATACGGGATCATCTACCCAAATGACTCTTGCTAGGTCCCCATATTTGTTCAAGAAGTCAACGACTTCCTCATCTAGCTCTGTTTCTGTTATTCCACTAAAAATGAGTTTGGCACTTTAGCTGTTTCTCTACTACTTCCATATTGGCCGGACTTGTTCTATTTTTGGTCTGGGTGGTCAAATTAGGTTTTTTTTCTAATAATTATTTTTTATTTAACAGGCAACTGCTCCTGGCTGGCTCTCCAAATTTTTGTAGGACTTACTATGCACAGGACCAGTTATAATTGGTTAAATAGTAATAATGCACCACAACCCAAGAGTTAGCTTTAAATTGTCAGCTTGTTTATAAAGGGAATGGATGAAGTTAAAGCAATGATAATTTTAAATGGGTACCAGATAAGACATTCACATAAACATTTAACATGACGTTCATGAACATTTATATTTGAATGCAATGGACTTTTACCCCCTTTCATTTTTGGGAGAGGAAAGAACCAGTTCTCCTATTTTATTAATTTTTCAGAACCTATTTGCATTCAAAATCTAGTTTGAGCTCTGTTTAAATCCTAGGTTTATTATCTTAATTTTAAGTTCTTATTTTACTATTTCAATAAGTTCCTTAGTTTTAACTCATTGTAGGCCTATTTTAGAGTCAAACATCAAATATTACCTTCCTAATGATAAACAACTTTAAACCAGTTAATTACTGAGTTTAACAATTAGGATATCAATCCATTACCAGTTCAGCAGGCAATGATGAACAGAAGATAACAATGGCCCGGTATAACCTTCACAGTTCGATAATTCAAACATTATGATTAATGTAGTGCACTGAATTACAACATCGAAATCACTGAATACAATTCCGTCTCTCTCTCGGCAGCAAGTACAAGTTACCTTTACCATCGACCGAGTTAGGCAGTCCGTTCAGAGCCCATAGTCTGAGGCAAAATGTCGCAGTTTATAGTAAATTCACTCTTACCGCGCCGCGAATCCACTTGCATCGAAGATATCAAAAGCGTCAGTTAAACAACTCCCAGCTTCACTGAATGAGAATCCGTCTCCTCTATGGTGCTCGAAATCCCTGTCGGTGCGACGTTATGGTCCAGGTGCTTTCAACGTGGGTGGCTCGCCATGATAGTCGATCCAAGTCCATGCGTTTAGCATGGCCTCCAAACTCTTCACTACTTGAGCAACACTTGCTCAAACTTAAGAAATAACGTCAAACATAACCACAGTCTATCACTATAGACAGAAAGCAACACAAAATACTTCCAAAGCTGAAAAATAAAGCAAAACAACGCTTATTTTTCTCCTTTTTTTCGTTCACTGGTTAAACCTCGCTAGCGCATTCATCGTTTTTTTCCGCCCTCGTCCTCTCGTGCCGGTTTATTCGGCATGAGACGACACAGTCCATTCCGATTGGCTGACAACTTCGACTGCTTAAAGCAATATAATGCTTATTTAAGTGCCTAGATTAACTGAATAATTCAATAGCAAAACTGAAAAATTGATTTTAATCTTATTTATCTGATTCGATCACTGTTGTTTTTAATATAAATTTTTAAATAATGAATTTTTGCATATTTACTACTAGGCCTATTTATTAAAATATGTATTCATTAATTTCTATGAAGCTATTTTCATCTAGGTTACATAAAACTACGAATTTAGGAGGCATGGGAGGCAGCTGACATGCGAGGCAGCCCAGAGCCTGGAAGGGAGACGCAAACCGCAGCTAATGACGGGTAAGCTGAAAGAAGGGCGCCTTTTACTCGACTGTGAAGGGGGCTTAATTTTTTACCTCAAAGGTGTACATTCTTTTGGGCATGACACAGGAATAAGTAGCGGCGAGGAGCACACGTTCTGGAATTTGAAGATGCATACCCCGCGTAAATTATACGGCCGGATTTACTGTGGACACTGTCTTACACCTAACCCCATGACAGGTAATCTGATTCCCCCCCCCCCAACTGGTCAGCCATATCTCTTGCTCAATTACCGTACCTCCGCCACCACCCGCCCTGTTTGCAGTTGTCTACAATCTTTCTTAGGAATACAATTTCTTTGAAATTGATTTTAAGCACTGTTGGGTATGGTGCTTCAACATTACGGGCTGTTAAGCATAAAATCACAGGTGTGCCTGTGTGTATTTGCAATTTCTGGAAGCAGGATGGGGGGGCTACGTGTGTGGCTCCTGAGTTATACGTGGATTTCTCACTGCTGATGAAAACTTAATTCCCTCAATAAGAGAATGTAAATGAAATTCTGATATCAGCTTTGAAAGGAGCATAATTTCCCGGGTATCTTTGTCTCTGTATCTTTGTCTCTGGTGATTATATCACAAAATGCTTTGGACAGTACACTCTGTGTGGCAAAGTGTCATATCTGAGCAAATCTCTTTCTGGCTTGCTTGAGTTGACCTGAGCGGCTGGCTGGTCAGTGCTTCCAATAGATTTTCGGATGTCAATATTGATTGATAAAAGCTAGATAAAAACTAAGCTAGCTACCTTCTTGAAATACCGAGGAAAAGTTGCCAGCTGGCGAGTCCATCACACACAACGCAATCCAACAAGCGCATTTGTGAGGATTTGAAAACGTAGGCTAGAACGTCACTTTAATTTTAGCGAATTATGATGGCCTGAATTATGTATTAGTATAAATAATTAGTAAATTGAAAGTTAACAGTAAAATTACAATAAATAAAAAATTAATAATAATTTAAAAATTAGCCCCATCCTGGGTTATTCCCTATCTTACGCCCGTTGCCTCCGGGATAGGCACCGGACCACACGCAACCCTGAACGGGATGAAAGGTTATAGAAAATGGATGGTTGGATGGATGGATGTTTGGATGGATGGATGGATGGATGGATGGATGGATGGATAATTAAAATTATGCCTTAATCTTCTCTGAGAGGGCGGGGTAGTCCGTCAAATGTAGACGTCGCGCCCTCCCATCCTCCTGCCAGTGGTTTGCTTTGAGATACTAAAAACGGCGCACTGACATTAAGGCATCACTGACGCGACAAAACTTTAAAGGTAAAAAAGAGTTTTAAAGGAGTGCGGTCGTGAGTACAATACAAAGCGCTCAGAATATAATCCGTGGGTAACACTTTATAATACTGTTCCGTAGTTAACAGGTAAATATGCAGGAAGTAAGCAGCAACAAAGGAGTAGTGCTTCATTAACACCTATAATTTGGTACTATTAACTACTAAGGAGTTATGCTTAATTACTCAATAGGTAATAGTGAACTAATTATTATAGTAGTTCGCTATTACTTCATTAGGAACTATTGAGTATTGCTGGTCTCATTGGGAATTATGTACTAACTATGGATTATTTCTAATAACTATACTAGTTCATTACTCATCAAATGAACAGTGCTTTTTTATGGACTAACTGGAACTTACAGGCTACTGTTCTGAATGGTTTTTGCCATTTTTTTTCCTTTTGGAATAACAGGCTTGTTTCTTCCTACTTGTTTGTATGACATACAACTTATTCTACAAAATGTTACTGCCTAAAATATGTATACAGTACCTACATTTAAATTATTTACCTCACTTCAGTCCGTGTGTCAGTGTTCTTCAAACTGTGCTTTGAAGTCCAACTTAAGGGATGGTCAATCAGAGACTCGTGTTTTGCCACATGATGTGCTCCACCACATATTGTTGATATTTTCTAAACATTAAGAAATTAATGTATGCATTTTAAATAAGGAATGAAGTCTTACTAATGACCTAAATAAAACACGAAGAACATATTGAGAAATCAAGAATAATGTAAAAAGAACGGAGAGGTGGATTCATTTGTGAACCGAAAATTGTTTTCTTCTTAAAAAACGCATAATAAAATTAAATTTAAAGCAAGTCAACAGAGACCCTACCGGGTCTTACTGCAATTGCTAAATGGGTTTTGGTTGAGTCGTGCAAATATTGGCGGAAAATGTAATATAGATTCAGCAATACTGAAACATTTTTTGTGTGCATAAAATAGTTATGTCTTTCATATTTAGGAAAACAAACCCAGACCGCACTTTGTGGACTCGGAGTAAGTGCTCATGTATTCATTAAATGCACGAGTGCCACCACCTCGCCTAGCCTTCCCTCCCTCCCTCCATACATCCTTGGTCCCCTCACCTCTCGCAGAAACAAACACACACACCATAGTTGGTGCGTGCTGCCTAAATGAGCTCCCCTAAATGAAAGCCAACCCTCCCCCCCGGATGGACACCGTTTGGCTGCGCGCTGGAATCGCCACGCATAAAAATGAATTTGGGGGACAGCGCCACGGAGAGGCGGCGAGCAGCAATGGAAAGGTAGATATTAAAAATAAGGGAAGAAAGCTGATGCGCTCCGGCGAAGCTTCCTGTACAAATGAGAGTAAAGAAGCGTGGTGCACCCACGCCTCCTCAAGCAGTCCGTGCATAGGGGGTATCAGGGCTCACTGGCACGGCGGACCCCCCGCCCCCATCACCACCACCGTGACAGACAACATTATAAGGACTCTTTTGGATGCATGCATCACCCGTTGTGCAACTCCATGCAAAAAAGACGGAAGATCCAACTTTTAAGCCCGACCGGCTCTTTGCTTTACTAAGTACACAACACAAGCTGTACCCGGGTCTTGCCCGAATGACGTCGGTGCCTGAATGCTCCGGACGGAGGAAAGGGAAAAGTTGAGACAGCGGCGGTTTTCGACATGCCGGAGGATGTGTCGCTGCTCCGGAACCGCACGGAGCTGGGACACGGCCGCTCTCTGACCACGCCGCCACCGGCGCGTCCCGCCTGGACGATCGCGGTGCTGGCCAGCGTGCTGATCTTCACCACCGTGGTGGACGTGCTGGGAAATTTCCTGGTCATCATCTCAGTAGCCAGGAATCGAAAACTTAGGAACGCCGGTAAGTCCAGGGCGAAAGCTTAATGTATGGGTGCGCAAACTGAGTTTGGCTTAACCATGCAATCACACATAAATGTTTCATTTATTCAGTATTTCATGTCATTTTGTTAGTCCAACCAATAAACAGCATACCTAAATTTACTGCATAGTAGCTGTGAAATAGGGCTAATTACGCACATTATTTTGGTATCAACAGTATTTCAAGTAGATGAAAAGTTATTGCGAAGGACAAGCGCTTACATTTGCGCTGATAATACAAATGTTACACCTCGCCTCGGTGCAACCATCCCAATCACTGCAACAATCTTACTATTGGTGTGTTTGAATGGGAAGCTGGTGAATGAATGTGAAACATTGCAAGGTATTTCATAATGTGATGTTTCATAACGCACAGGTTCATGATGTGATCTATGGGTCGCTCGTCGCACTTGCTTATATGCTGGCTGCGTGAGGCGCAAGCTTTAGTGCGATTTTACAAAACAGCCCAATTATACAACAAATATCGGTATGTAATTTCTAATGAGGACTTCTGGCACGGAGAATAAGTTTAGAATTAATAATCAACTTGAGTACCGCATAATTAAACTGTATTGTCTGTAGCTCATGTAGCAAGTAAGTAAACGTGGATACCTTTTCAGGGGCACGCGTAAGATTTCAGGTTTCAGTTGCGTTTAATTGAAAACGCGCTACTCAGCTAATGTTAATACCATCAGTAGCGATAATAGGCCAATATCACAGCTGTAATGTCTGTAAAATACGTTTTTTTCCAGTTTTTGGTAAAACGGAATTAACCTAGCTATTTCCTTTTCCCCTGTATTGTTTTCTGTGCCAAAGTATTGGTTCATTTCCAAAAATAAACTAAGTCTAGATATTTTCATTTTTAGGACCCCTCACATTCGCTCGTTGTGTTGGAAAAATGGAAACGATTAAACTTGTGAAATCGCCAGGCATTTTAATGGTCCGTGGATGTTTTGTATGACCGTCCGCGGACCATAAATTCTGGAGACCCCTACTGTACTGTATTCATATTGTGGAAAAGTATTGCTGATTTGATGTATAACTGTGTGTTAAAATAATTGTGTCATTTTCTTCCATCTGTTTTCAATAGTCCTCCTGTTTCTATAGTTAACATTTTAGTGTATTTTGATTTCGAGAGAGTTACCGATCACGGTGTTGATGTAAGTTGCAACGATAACATGTGCTGATGTTAGGAAAGCCCGCGTTAAAACTGCGAATCGGTAAAAGTTTCGTAAAAATCTCGTAAATTGCAAAAATAATCCGACAACAGTTAATGTTCCCAAACAAAACGTAACTTAGCACCACATCCGCGCTCCTTCCTTTTCCTTGTTTTTTCCCACAGAGGCTGATCACTGCTCTCGTAGGGTCTGTTTCTGGTCAAGAAAATGGATGGGAGCGTCTGTAGATGTTCATTCTCAGTAAGATGAGTAAAGCTATGATGTTATTATAATTTTGTGTGCTTGTTATAGTTTAGATTAGTATTTGTATATTTATATATGAAGGTGTCCGTTTTCATTAATCTTTATGCCAAATGGACTGTTTAACTTTTATTTTGGGACTTAGTTTTACTAGTGATCACTTATAATAGGTGAGAAACGCACGTAATTACCTTTCGCTTTTCTGGATTTCTCTGGATTTCTCCTGCTCCCACAACGACAGTGGAGGACGTTGTGAGATCTTGAAGGTGTGGCATTTTTGGAAGGCGTGAAATGGCATTTCCGACTGTCATGTCAGAATTCAACATGGACCTGATGAGTATTAATCCTTTGGACAGCTGTGTCTGTGACTATCGGGGGCACCGCGGGGGTGTACGGTGTACCAGGGATTAACTGCTCATTGCACATCAGCGGAGCGCAACGATAGTACTGAACGCGATATGCTCTCTTTAATTAGACAGATAGCGCAGACAGGCTGCTGTTTAATGCCGAAAGGAGCTGCTCATGTCAATCAGGGTGCCTTATTTATGTCCAGTGTGGCAGGATCCACTCAAGGTGATCCTGTAGCTGAGGGTTGGGGGGGCTTCTGCAAGGGGCCCATGCAAAATTTACCCAGGGTAGACCCCAAAGCAGGCGATCACAATTTGCATCAATTTACTGAGAACCTCCCTACCTGGGTCAGCAGATTTTACCACCATTCTCCCCATCTCCCCATGTCACTCATTCCCCACCCCTGAAGAGACCCGTAATGTCAGCATACCGATCTGTTATTTATATACGTGCGGTATTAAAGCAGCTGGCCCCCATACCAACTTAGTCGAGTGTGCTCCTTTGGTTTGTAATGTCACATGGCCACATTTAATCACAGGAGTCCTCTTAAAAACCCGCTTTGACTGAACTTCAGATCCTTGGAAATGCCTTTGAAGCTCGACCTGTCTGGCTTGAAGCCCCTGCCCTCTGGTCCGGGTGAAGCATCACTTCAGAGCCGGTCTGTAAGAGAAGCTCTGGGGTCATGCCACACTGCTCTGAAGCATTTTTCACATTGTCGGGGACGCTTTTTCTTGCACTCCTGTAAGATGTTGGGGCTCCTGGGGGGTCTGTAGCATATTTGTTTAAGCAATTAATGTAATTGTTGGTGTTCATAGTTTCCTGTCTGGGGGCTGCATAAATCCAGACGGCCTGTTACTGTAAAAATTAGACTTGTCCTCCCTCTTGGCTTTGTATCCTATCTTCTCAGTTTTTTTTGGAAATAAATATGAGTGTGTGTTTTATGCACCTGTTTGTGCAGGACATGTCTGGGCTTTGGTCCACCTTTGTTGCCCTCTTATAATTCCTTGCGTTGAGCAGAGGGATTAGCCGTGCCTTTCCCTTGTTTATTCAGGGCTTATTAAGGTGTGCCATGTTTGACTTTAGGAATTCAAACTTCATCTGCCTTAATCACTCCAGTAATATATCTACTGGAAAAGCACGCAGGCCGGCGGATTCCATCGAGTGGCGTGCCCATGGTCCGAGAGTCCGCCATGTTTATGTGTTTCTGAGGAATCTTTAGGGTACATGTGCATATTTATGCACTGCTGACAGGTGTGTGCGGTACCACGTCCCATGGCTGGAAAACAGGGTCATTATCAAGGTTGAATTTTTTACATATCCTTTAGGAGGTTCGCTGTAGTGGTTTATGAACTCAAACACCTACTCAAGAAAAACCTAAAAAGTGACAGTGACTGAGGACAGTAAGCATGGACCTCATATGCCCTGTGCGGACAGGCTGTCTGTCCCTACCCAGAAGGCTCCGGCCCCAGCCTTTGTAGTCTCTGCAGCTCTGTACAGACACCTCTCCGGCTGCAGATAAGAATCCAGGAAGGAACATTATTTCTCAGGAGGCACAGCGGAGGAAAGGCCTGTGATCCTGACTCCGCCCGTGAGCTTCTCTCAGGGCTCAGGCATGACCAGAACGGTTGATTGGCTTTTGGCTGCTCCTTTAATTCTATTAAATTGCAGTCACGGGGCAGAGTGAAACAGGAGTGTGTCGACATCAGAGAGGAAATGATCCCCGACAGCATGCTCTGGAGTAGAGCAGCAAGGCTTCCTAACCCCGAACGTCACATACCACACTTCTCCATATCTTTCATACAAAGCACTTCTGTAGTCATAAAAGTGGCCTGAAATGTCGTCAACACGCTTCCCCACTTTCAGAGAATTCTGATGTATGTTTCTTTTCATCCATGAACTGCTTGCATAATACAAAGAGCTTCTCTGGCATTTTGTTTTTGAGTTCAGCTTGGCAGGGAGTTTTTTTTTTTGGTGCATTTTTTTAACTCTCAGACACCAAAGGTGTGCCTGGGAGACTCTTTAGGTCGCTCTCTGGTGTGACTCCCATTGAGGGACAACTAAGGAGAGGAATCCTTCTGGCTTATCCCAGTCTTCCACAGGTCCGTGCGTCTCTCACTCTGCTTCAAGTGCCTCATTCTCTAGAGAGAGCAGCTCATCTCTTACATGTTTTAAAAAAAGAACAGCATCCATTCGTCCCATCCGCAGCTGCTCAGTAAAAATGAGATTTTGAGGCACCCGCCTCTGCCTCTGCCTCTGCCTCTGCCTCTGCCTGTGAAGCTCGCAGCCGTGTCCCTCCTGCTCGGCTGCACCCTGCCAAATTCCCCATGACTTTGTGGATTCCCTGAACATTCAGTTATCTGAAAGAGCACAGACTCAATTGGCTTCGAAATAGTAAGGGTCAGCACACTGGGCATGAAGGAGTCCGCCTCCAGAAATTCTGTAAGTTTACCCCATACTTTCAGTTTGTAAAGTTTCTCGGTATGTTCTGTTCCTAAGGTTAATTTGTTACTCTTTATTCAGTTTAGCAGGTACAGGGTGGCAGAAAGACGATGTAGGCCAGGGTTCCCCAATTCCGATCCTGGCGTACTGGTACTTGAGCAGGGAAATCTGCAAACTGTGTTGGATTCTGGCCCCCCAGGACTGGAATTGGGGAACCCTGGAGTAGACAATGTCCCATACAGGTCTCTGCTTCTACTGGAGCACATGTAGCATTTGGGTCAAGTTTTGTTACCCTTTTGTGCGACTGGTTGTCTACCAGGAGGTGTGATTCAAGGACCCCACACACACACACACACACACACACACACATACAGTACAGGTTCTCATGAAAGCAGGGGCAGGGCTGGCACAAAGGGGATGGACAAACATGAATATAATGGATGTTCAGGTGCAGAGTGACGATTGACAGGCTAGGCACCAGCACCACCAGTGAAACGTGCTGATCTGGGGCAAGTCAGCAGCAATTTTCTTGGGCGACTATGATCAACCAATCCCCAGCTCACCTGTACCATCCCAGAGAAATGCCAGAGGAACTGTCACACAGCTGAAGGCCGGTTGTACTGAGGTGCACTTGAGCTCCGTTCTCCTGCTACTCTGGAAGCGTTGGGGTGAGAGAGTGGGGGTCTCCTGGGGAGAAAGCAGACTTTAAGCAGCTCTCAGAATGGACCCTGAGTGATCCCACTCCCCGGCTGGTGGGGGAAATCCTGACTTCCCATTC